CCTTCGGCCCGCTCATCTGCTGGATCATCGCCGCCAAGTTCGACGGCGTCGCGCGGCGGCACGCGAAAACGCGTTTCGCCGAGTTCTGGGGGGAGGAGGGCGGCGGCGCCGGCACGGGGGGCGGCGGGAAGGCGAAGCAGGGGTGAGCGGGGTGGCGCCGACGGCGCGTGCCCGTTTTGTGTGCGAGCAAGGCGAGCCCCCGGGCAGGGGCGCCGCGCGATTTCTCAGGGGTGTCCCCGCATGAAATTGGGGGCATCATGCCGCGTCAAACTCTGTCCTGGAACCGATTGAGACGGGCCTGGCCTGAAACGAACGGACGCCAACCACTGACTGATTGGAAACACTTTTCAAAGCGCGCCCCACGCGGCCAGGCTCAACAACTGATCTCAAGTAACATTAATTGCGGGATCCGTGGCGGCTTCTCGTTTGCTGGATGGCAGAGCAGCTGCTTTGGCGACATGCGTGCGAAGAGGGCGCAGCCCGTGTTGGGATGCGAGGGGCTGTGCTGCTGAGACGAGCCATCTGTCGGAAGCCGGGTGGGCTCCAAATCAGAAGTGAATCCGATCCGGCGCTGGTCAAAAGGACGTACGGCGGCGCAGCAGCGGCAGCAGCGGCAGCGGCAGCAGCGATGCGAGACGCTGCAACTCAGCCTAGGCTTGGGCGTAGCCCTCGACGCGTCTTGCGGCGACGTGCCGCAGACATTCGCTGCGACGAGCCCGAGGCAGCAGTTCCGCTCTGTGTGTCAAGAGCTCGGCTGATGGAAGCACTCGCCCGTGCGGCACGCGGCCTCCACACAGTCAGGCCTTTGCCCAGGCAGTGGAGTGTAGTCACCCTCTACGCCAAGCGCTGCTGTTCGCATCTGGAGTCCGGATACGTGCGTTTGTGCATAGCGCCGCGATAGCGCACGGCGCGGCAGAGGCGACGGTGAGGGTGGTCATCCCCGGCGGCCTGCTGCACGCGATCTAGCGGTTTGAGTTGCTACATATTCGGTTGACCATATCAGCATCTGCGGCAACGGCACCCTCTGGCGATCCTTGCGCGATGCCGGCTCGCTCCCAACAACGGCGTATCTCTCGGGAGCTCTTTCCAGTTTCAAGAGACGCCCTGTCGCATTCCATCAATACACGCGCTCAACATACGACGTTCAACAGAGTGTTCAGGCATTCGCAGAGATCACACTGACAGCTCATGATCAGCAACAGCAACGTGCTGAACAGTAGCCACGCCCCCGTCCGCTCGCCCAGGACCTGCTCAGCCTTGACACGTGCTTTTGCGACCTTTGCTCCAGCCCGTACCAGCCCAGTCCGTGAGGTGGCGGCGAACATGGCCGCTTTCGGCAGGGTGTACAACTTTTCGGCGGGCCCCGCTGTCTTGCCTATCGAGGTCCTGCAGGAGGCCCAGGCCGATCTCCTCAACTATGGCGGCAGCGGCACGTCGGTGATGGAGATGTCTCACCGAAGCAAGGCGTTCGAAGGGATCATCAAGGCCGCGGAGGCCGACCTGCGCACCCTGCTCTCGATCCCCGACAACTACAAGGTCTTGTTTCTTCAGGGCGGCGCGTCGACGCAGTTTGCGACGCTCGTGCACAACCTGACCGCGGTCGGCGATGTCGCTGACTACGTCGTGACCGGCGCCTGGAGCAAGAAGGCCTATGAGGAGGGCCTCAAGGTGAGCTCCTGCAATAGATGAATAAGTTGCGGCGCCGCCGGCACGCTGCGCGCCCCCGCCCCGGCACGTGCGTCACGCGTTGACTGTCGAACAGCCCCGAGTCGGTGACGCATTCTGCAACAAATCAAAAGCCCCTCAACCGCCGCCCCGCTGGGCACTCTTCACGCATCGACAGCTCGGCGTCAAGGCCAACCTGGCGGCCAAGGGCGACAACAAGTCGATCCCCGCTGTGGACGGCTGGAAGCTCAGCCCTGACGCCAAGTTTGTGCACTACTGCGACAACGAGACCATCGGGGTCCGCTGGGGCTGAAGGGGAGCGCACTTTCAGGGATTTCGTGCAGACGGGGGTGGGGGGTTTGGTTCGCATGGCGGTGGTCGCGCGGCGGGCTCGCCTGCGGCATCGGCCGCGCGCCGGGCGAGCTGGGAAAAGGACGCGTGCTTGTAGAGGTGGGTCCCCTTCCCTTCCCCCTCCCAAACCGCACGGCCCCAAGCGACCCGCTGCATCACTGCGTCTCCCGACCCCGCACCCGTACAAAAGCTACCTGCCCCCTCCTCACCGCTAAAAACGAAACCCCCGAAACCTCCCAGGGCGTGGAGTTCCAGGAGGCGCCCGAGGTGGGGGACCGCGTGCTGGTGGCCGACATGTCATCCAACTTCCTGTCAAAGCCCGTGGACGTCTCAAAGTGCGGCCCCTGGGGCTTTTGGGGGGGGGGGTTGCGGGACGGTCAGGGGGTATCGTTGAGGTCGGGGCATTGAGGGGAAGGAGGAGGCTGCGCAGGCGACTGATGGGGCTGCTGATCGAGTGGCGCCGCAGGCCGACGGGCAAAGCCCATACACGCAGGAAGACGGGAGACCACCTTGGACAATTCACAACGGCTGACACATGTGGCAGGGCAGCTGCTGCGCGTGGGCGCCCGGGGTTGTCAGCGCCGCCGCCGGCGTCGCGCCGCCCATTCAGCACACCCCCTGATGGCCCTTCGTCTCTCTTTCAGGTACGGCATCATCTACGCCGGCGCCCAGAAGAACGTGGGCCCCGCGGGCGTGGTGATCGCCATTGTGCGGGACGACCTGCTGGGCAACACGCGGTGAGTCAAGGGGGGGGGGCGAAAAGTGAGGGGGGTTATTCAGCTGGCAAAAGATGATCTGCGAGCAGGCTGCTGCCTGGGGAACTCCAGGACATTCAGGGGCGGGGAATGGCAGGCAGGACCAGGCTGTGATCGGCTGGTGGGGTGGATGAGCAGTGTGCGCGCCGCCTCGAGTCCGCGGTCGCTGGGCCGCGCGGCAGCCCGCCCGCTCGCTGGCCGCCTCGCTCGAGCCCGGCCGGGCGGCTCACACCGTTTTCCCATCATCACCCCAATCAAGCGGTTTCTGTGCATCCCCCGACAC